CTGTATAGAGGTAGTAGAAAATAGGTTGGAGAAAGTTGACAGTCGGACGAGTGCACGACCGCCCGCGAAAGGGCCTCTGTGAGAGCGTAGGAGTCACCGCAGTGCGGTCGTGTGTGTGTGTGTCAGCAACTGAGAAATGATTGGTTAGACCGGATTGGGGTAGACAGACATTGGTGCTTACGCACGTGCTAGCAGCCGCGAACGGTGAGTGTTGCGCGTGTAGTGATGACACTATAACCTGTCACCACATTTGCTAACGTGTGACTACCAGTCAGCTGGTTAACGCAGTGTGACAGGTTACCTTCGCTGATTTTCGGGCTAAACTCTGAAAAAAACAGGCAGTTGGTGTTGATGTACATCATTGGTTGTCAAATGCTCTTGGGGTGTTTTCACGTGCCCGTAGACGTTTTTACGAGACGTGGAATTACCCCTTATTGTCACTCCCGCGTCATGTGCGCGTCTATGGATTTAAAAATATTTGCAGACTTCGGGTTAGATGGGAATCTGTAAGTTTTGTGAGGGCTTAATGGCTGAGTCAATTATGTAAAAGTTAACTCGCCTTCGTAATATATCTTTTTCTTCGAAGTGATAAACTGGGTTGGGTTGTAATACTGGCCGTAGCGCAACAAAGCTCAGGCTGGGATGATGGCTTTTGAGATATGTTCCGGTCTAAAAATGATAGGCACGTAGGGGGTAAATGTTTCGCAAATGATCTGCGATGTCCCTATAAATTGATTGATTAAAAAGTATGAACGAAGGTACTCTGTCCTGTAGATATTTGGTGACCACCTACATAGTTTCTTTGAATGTTATGCGCGAAGCGAGCGTATTCCTCGACTTCGTAACAATTCCTGGGAGAATAACTAATGTGGCCGCCAGCGACTTGACCCGGAACAGGGCCACCCTGCTCTTTTAAAGTTTATGGCCTCACCATCAATTTCAGGAAGGGTGCATATTCCTCTGTCTTCATTCTGACGTGAACCTGAACTGTACCCGTTTTTTTACCCCCGCCCTAAGCTTAACGTCCGTAGTTAACATAGAACTAATCCTTTACATAATCTTTATACCAACCTGGCCTACCTAATTTCCCGAGAATTTGGCACAAAGCCACATGTATTGTGGGCGGTTCCCGTTCCCATATCCTGTTAAGGCGGCCGTAAGAGTCATGTTTCGCGTATTCTTTGTCTCAGTATCCCGTCCTAACGCGTTCGTCTACTGCCAATGATATCAACACTCGATACAGTAGGGTACACGTAGTCAATAACAAAGGAGTCGGCCAAATACAACGCCGGACTGTGCACCAAGGAACAACGCATTTCGGATAAAGTCGCAAGTGCGCGGGGCGAAGCCAGGCCTGGAAAAGTGTGTCGGTTGGGGAAAGGAAGATGGCAGCTGCTTTATTTGACTGTGGAGCAAGTTCGAGTGGTGTGCGGCTGGAATGATGCATTGTCCAAAGGGGTGTCGTGTAAATTAGCCCATGCGGCATGGTGGGG